AAAAGTACCGTGATTTGCACAGAGAAAAAAAAACTGTCAAGATGGGTGAATTAAGTGTCAATAATGTAAGAATATTTCCTCAATAATCGTAATCTTATTTGTGCAAAGGTGATATGGAAGCATTAGTATATTGCACTTTATTGATTTTCAGTTTGAAGAGTATTTACCAAAGTGATCACAGTGATTGAAAATGAGAAAACGATGAGTTATTGAGCGAAACCGATTTAACAATTTCCAAAGTTTTGTTATCCCAGTAACTACGTACATTTCGCCGATTTCGTTCTTCTTCTCAGTGCCACACGTCCACGATGCCAGCGCCTATTGCATTATTTTATTAGATTACAAGTTTTTCATCTAGGAATTCTTTTTTGCGAACACACGGTGCTCTATCCGTTTAGCCAATATAATCATACTAGCACGCTGTGCAAAAATTATGCACACCGAAAAAGAACTCATGCAATTATCGTCTATACAATTGGAATTGTGCAGTTTCATCTGCTATCAAATGATGAGGGAAGAATTGATGGAGCAGAGCATTTATTAGCGTTTCACTTCCTGCTATAGTTTTCTTGACTCGTTTTTAGCATCACTTTATTTATAGTCGCTTTCTAGCGGTGCAGCACATGGTGCAATAAAAGTTGTACGTATTGCGTTCGACTGTTGTACTCGATTAAAAGCCAACACTTGAAAGGAAGCTTATAAAAAGTTGATTGAAGCCGCTTCCAACGGTTGCCTTTTTTGTCTGATCCAAATACATAAAATATCAAATTTGGCTCAAACGGCGATCCATGTAGGCTACGTAAAGTTTCTATGCCATTAAAACACTGAATATAAAGTGTGAAGAATTTCGTGAACTGTGGATAAAGTAACTTCTCCCTCTTCAGTACTGACATATTTATATCAGATTTTTTATAAACAAAAAATGTTATCTTGATGCATACGTGAACGAGGACTTGAATGATGGGCTTAGTATACATTTAATCACATCTGCGATGATACGAGGGATCTTGAATAGGTTCGCCATCAACAAGGGGTGGATAGGCGGATGCCAAATAGTTTATCATTTATACAGAGGAGTAAATCTTTGTTCTCACCGAGCTCGTTTTTCAAAACTTAAAAATGATCAAAATTTTACTGTGACTCATATCAGTGAGTCGATATGCAAGTGACAGTGGGTGATGCAGTTCCTATAGGGGATACTGCTGATTAACACTAATGTTCTTTAGACAATTACCGTTTCTATTTCCGATTTTCACTTGGTTTCACAACACACCAATATTTTTCAATCTTTTACTAAAGCATCTTGTCGTTTGTCTTGTCCCTTCTTCTCATCCGCCATCCATCGATAGGAGGACGGATTGTCGTTGCTGAAAGTCGTAGTAGTGGCGTAAACTAAGTGACAAGTTCTCTCTAGAAGAAACATATACATTAGCTTGAGTTCGTAAGACTCCACTTCCCCCATCTTATTTTGAATATTGACTACGATATGGTATTTCCATATATAGATTGCCAAACTTACATTGGTGTTATAAAACCTTGATTCGGCTGACGTATTCCCCTTCTCGATTGCTGTGAAGATTTGAGTAAACTATCCAAATTAGTTGCTTGTTGCACATTGTAAAGTCTTTTTGTGGCCCCGAGTAGTGTCTGTGGAGGAGAACACCATGTGAATTAAGCAACCGCACTCAGTATTCTCCTTTGTACAGTACAGTTTGATACTGATAATCTACCAGTGAATATCCGTTTTTCCGAAACCAACGAATCCTGCTGACGACCTTCTCCGCTTCACTGGCCGTTGGACCGCCCTTGACCGTAATTGTGGCGTCGACCTTTGCAGTTTCGAAAAAAACAACGTGTGCACACTCGTTTTTTTTTCGACGACTGGAGCAAAAGTGACACAATTACGGCAAGTGCGGTCACAACATCGCCACCTGCCAGTGAAGCGGAGAAGGTCGTCAGCAGGATTCGTTGGTTTCGGAAAAACGGATATTCACTGGTAGATTATCAGTATCAAACTGTACTGTACAAAGGAGAATACTGAGTGCGGTTGCTTAATTCACATGGTGTTCTCCTCCACAGACACTACTCGGGGCCACAAAAAGACTTTACAATGTGCAACAAGCAACTAATTTGGATAGTTTACTCAAATCTTCACAGCAATCGAGAAGGGGAATACGTCAGCCGAATCAAGGTTTTATAACACCAATGTAAGTTTGGCAATCTATATATGGAAATACCATATCGTAGTCAATATTCAAAATAAGATGGGGGAAGTGGAGTCTTACGAACTCAAGCTAATGTATATGTTTCTTCTAGAGAGAACTTGTCACTTAGTTTACGCCACTACTACGACTTTCAGCAACGACAATCCGTCCTCCTATCGATGGATGGCGGATGAGAAGAAGGGACAAGACAAACGACAAGATGCTTTAGTAAAAGATTGAAAAATATTGGTGTGTTGTGAAACCAAGTGAAAATCGGAAATAGAAACGGTAATTGTCTAAAGAACATTAGTGTTAATCAGCAGTATCCCCTATAGGAACTGCATCACCCACTGTCACTTGCATATCGACTCACTGATATGAGTCACAGTAAAATTTTGATCATTTTTAAGTTTTGAAAAACGAGCTCGGTGAGAACAAAGATTTACTCCTCTGTATAAATGATAAACTATTTGGCATCCGCCTATCCACCCCTTGTTGATGGCGAACCTATTCAAGATCCCTCGTATCATCGCAGATGTGATTAAATGTATACTAAGCCCATCATTCAAGTCCTCGTTCACGTATGCATCAAGATAACATTTTTTGTTTATAAAAAATCTGATATAAATATGTCAGTACTGAAGAGGGAGAAGTTACTTTATCCACAGTTCACGAAATTCTTCACACTTTATATTCAGTGTTTTAATGGCATAGAAACTTTACGTAGCCTACATGGATCGCCGTTTGAGCCAAATTTGATATTTTATGTATTTGGATCAGACAAAAAAGGCAACCGTTGGAAGCGGCTTCAATCAACTTTTTATAAGCTTCCTTTCAAGTGTTGGCTTTTAATCGAGTACAACAGTCGAACGCAATACGTACAACTTTTATTGCACCATGTGCTGCACCGCTAGAAAGCGACTATAAATAAAGTGATGCTAAAAACGAGTCAAGAAAACTATAGCAGGAAGTGAAACGCTAATAAATGCTCTGCTCCATCAATTCTTCCCTCATCATTTGATAGCAGATGAAACTGCACAATTCCAATTGTATAGACGATAATTGCATGAGTTCTTTTTCGGTGTGCATAATTTTTGCACAGCGTGCTAGTATGATTATATTGGCTAAACGGATAGAGCACCGTGTGTTCGCAAAAAAGAATTCCTAGATGAAAAACTTGTAATCTAATAAAATAATGCAATAGGCGCTGGCATCGTGGACGTGTGGCACTGAGAAGAAGAACGAAATCGGCGAAATGTACGTAGTTACTGGGATAACAAAACTTTGGAAATTGTTAAATCGGTTTCGCTCAATAACTCATCGTTTTCTCATTTTCAATCACTGTGATCACTTTGGTAAATACTCTTCAAACTGAAAATCAATAAAGTGCAATATACTAATGCTTCCATATCACCTTTGCACAAATAAGATTACGATTATTGAGGAAATATTCTTACATTATTGACACTTAATTCACCCATCTTGACAGTTTTTTTTTCTCTGTGCAAATCACGGTACTTTTAGCATCCAATTCGTTTAATCGTCTACTTTTTGCACATCGTAGAATACTGGTTGAACGAGTCTCCTTCCAATCTCAAGGACAGCCTGGCTGTGGTGTTCCGTGGAGCGTTGTTGTTGACCGCCTGAGAGGGCCGGCACGTGGAGCTCGGCTCCATGTAAGCCGCGACGAACATCACAGCCGCTCTGCCAGGGAGCTCCTATTGAGAAAATAGCTCGGAAGAAACTCAAGGTGATTTGAAACAATTCCAAAAGTCAAAATCAATGAACAATGCTGAAAGAAATCCCTGCATGCGCGGTGTGAAAGGAGTGAACACTATGGACACCATGGTTAATCGTCTACTTTTTGAACATCGTAGAATACTAGTTGAGCTAGTCATTACGATTGTGATAGCTTCTCTAATGTGAGTGAATTACGGTAAATGATCGTAAGTAGTTTGCACGAAATGTAAATTATTACAAGAATTTAGGTCGGAAATTGTTATCACTTGTCATTATTACAGAAACTGCAGAAGTTTCTCGCCGGTTTTACGTCCAAAAATCATTGATGAATATGATTGGAAATATTGTCAACAAAAAAAAAAATGATACTGCACTGATTTTCCTGCACCGGCTATGAGGTCATCTAGAACTCGAGTCGTCGGTGGTAAAAATTAGTCTCTTTTAATTTTATCATGACCAAACGACTAGTGCTTGCTGTGATCATATCAGCGCTCTGTTCTTGTTGGTTTACTCAACTAGTGTTCTTGACGATCTTGAAGAATGCTTCAGTATCCTTCTCAATGCAGCAGCATCTACGGTAGCTCACACTAGTAGCGTTCCATGCAGTAAATTTGTGCTTTCCCTTTTGCAGATCTCTAAAGCCTATCTTATTTTCGTAATCCGAAATTTTCTGAATCGATAGAGAAACATGGAAGGACTGGTCACTTAATAAGAAGAACAGTGTAGTGAACTCCAAGAAAATGCAAACATTCTATTGCAAGATCGCCCAGATGATAGAAGGATGTGTTTATGGCCAACGCTAACCATCTGTTTATGCAAATTTCAATGACTTTTAAAGTCATAAAATGGTTCTCGCAAGTGATAAACTCAAGAAACGGGTGCACCATTTCTATACGCATTTCTAATGTTCACCCACGATAAGCGGTGTGATGGTCCTGGACTCCTTAAAGCAATAGAGGTAGAGAAGCTTTGCGGAGTTATCCGATTTGCTGAGGAAGATAACTGATTGAAGTAATATGAGAGGGCGTGGTAACGAATAAGTCGCAGCGCGCATGTGCCTCTGTGGTGTAGTGGTAGCACGCGTCCACGGTATGGATGGAACGCGGGTTTGTCTCTCGCCCGAGGCCGCATTTTGCACGGTGCTCAACTCGCCTAGGTGTAGTATGAGGGCTCCTGGTGAATTTCTCCCCCAACCAATAAAGGACACGTGAAGTTTTTCGAACTCATCCGATATGTTGAGGAAGAGAACTGATTGATGTAGTATGAAAGGTCAGTGTACTATGTGCAGATTCACGTACTGATTTGAAAGTACTTCTTTTATTTTAACGAAATTCACATCTCTATTGATTGATTCAAAATATACTGGCGGTAACAGAAACAAATATCAATAATCGTTCTTTTTTATCTAATTCAATCATTTTCAATGCAGTTGCAATTGAAGGAGGTCGCATTTTTTCATGCACACTAACACATGCCGTTATTAGAGCAATCATTTAGAAGTTGCCTGAGAGCAATATTGGCACTGTTTAAGAGCATGCACTTGGCTGTCCCTTTGTTTCGTCTTCAGTTGGTCCACAACACCCATTCAGCGCATTTGCTACCATTCCTAAAAAAGCAATTAGTTGGGCCGTAAACAACCATCAACTAAAACTACGTTAACGACAACACACCACCAAGCAATGTTGACAGTACCAAATGTGAACGCTTTTCTCCTTTCTCCTTGATATTTCATGTGTTCGAATGTTGCAGAAGCCAGTGAAATCCCGATTGAAAATGAACAAATAGTAAAATAATCGGCTATATTAGCACTGTGTACTTCTTAAATCTATAAAATCTGTTAGTTTTGAGACCACCGCATACTACAGAGTATCCCAAAGTGATCATAGTGATTGAATTTAAGAAAACGATGAGTTATTCAGTCGATGTAACCTTTTCCGACGATTTGTTATGCCAGTAATTTACGTAGATTTCGCCGATTTCGTTCAGCACCTCGGTGTCACACGCCTACGCTACTAGCGTCTATTGCATAATTTCTTTGGATTACAAGTTCTTCATGTAGAATTTTTTTCTTGCGAACGCACAGTGGTCTCCCCTTCGACAATATATCCATACTAGCATGCTGTGCAAAAAAAAAAAAAAGTACACCGCAATAGAACTCGTTCAATCATCTCCTTTATCACTTGAATTGCGCGAAAATTTGTCTGCTACGAAATGTCGACGAAATAGTTGATGAAACAGAGTGCTTGTTGGCGTTTCAATCTCTGCTACAATTTACCTTACTCGTTTTTAGCATCATTTTCAGCCGCTTTATAGCGGTGCATCATATGTTGAAAAAAACGGTGGTACGAATTGCATTCGTCGGTTGTGCTCGATTAAAAGCCTACAGTTAAGAGGAAGCTCATAAATGATTGACTGGATGACGCTGATAACAAATGTCTCTTTTGTTCGATCCAAATATACAAAATATTACATTTGGTTCTACCGACGATCCATGTAAGCTACTTGAAGTTTCTTTGTCATCAAAAACACTGAATATAAAGGTGTATAATTTTGTGAACTGGGCGAAAAGTAACTTCCAACTCTCCAGTACTGACATGTTTCTATCACGTTTTTTATAAAGATAAAACATTGTTTTGATGAATACGTGATCGAAGTACTAGCATGATGGGTTTAGAATACATTTATTCACATTTGCGATGTTACGAAGACCTCGACTAGATTTGTCATCAACAAGAGACGGATGGGCGGACACCGAATAGTTGTATATCCTTCATACACAAAAGTTAATCTTTGTTTTGACCGGGCTTTTTTTGGAAACTTAAAAATGATCAAAATTTTACTGTGACTCATATTAGTGAGTCGATATGCAAGTGGTATTAGGTGATGCAGTTCCTATGGAAGGGATACCGCTGGTTAACACCAATGTTCTTAGACAATTACCGTTTCTATTTCCGATTTTCAGTTGGTTTCACAACACACCAGTATTTTTCAAACTTTTACTAAAGCATCTCATCATTTCTCTTCTCCTTTCTTCTCATCCAACATCCATGGATAGGAGGACACAATGTCGTTGCTAAAAGTTGTAGTAGTGGCGTGGTGGTGAAAGGTGAAAGGCAGAGTAAACACATCCATTTGAACATAAGCTTTTTTTAGACTATTGTCATTGAATACTAAATACAAGCAAAAAATAAGGAAAAATTGTCTTTGGAGAAGTTAGCAAGAAAATACATTTCGTTTATGTGAGATAATGGAATGATTCAAAGTAGACGTCACAATAGTGTCCATGCAGGTTAGTTGCAACTCAGCTGCAGAGCATCAGTACAAATATAACATTACCATCATCTTTTTCATTGCACTGCTTCTTAGTGGTTCAAAAGAACTGGTTATCAGGCTGAGAACTCGTAAAATCAAAGTTCTCAGACGTTTGTATCACCAGTGTTCATACTTTGCGTGGCAGTCATTAGATTATGCTGTTTTTACACAACCGTTCTCTATCGAACCGACAAGATGTTTGAAAAATGAAAGAGGAACAGAAGTTGATTGTAACAAAGTATTTGTCACGACTACGTCTGGTTCTCACAGTGGATATCATTGTCCAGTCAATTTGTTGATGATCCTCGTCAACGTCATATCCTTTACTGTTACATTAGGGTTATCTGCGATGTTCTTTTTTGTGATTTCAATAGGAAGGTCAGTAAATATTCCACAGCTTGAATCCCTGACTAGAGCAGTGCATGACTTGTTATTAAATATAACCCTTTTATAACGCAGTATAATCTGGAACAAATTTATGTTTGGCGAGGGAAAATTTCTCTTCGAACAATTCTCTTTCCTTTTAACAAACTATTGGCAAACTTTCTGTAGCGCAAGGTTTACTGATTTCAATGCTGTGCATGTATACTGAAAATACCGTTTCCTTGTAAGGCAAGAGAAAAATAAAGTTTGATTCACATTCGCGAGCAAGGTTGTCTTTGACCAATTCACGGGCCGTTGGGTGAGACGGTAACGGGTATTGCGAATTGTCTAGCGATTTTCGATCAGTCTTGTGCCAGTGCGTCTTTGTATTCAGTTAGAAAATGGTTTCTTTGCTTTGAAAGAAAAACTGCAGATAAAGCGTATGTTTTTGCGATTAACATCTCCTAGTGAGCATGCAGGTATTTATTATAGCAAAGGAAGTTCATCCCGGACGTAAGTTTCTTTTGACTCAGCTTCTGTAGAAAGATGTTTGACTCTCTCTCTCTCTCTCTCTTTCTCTCTCTATCTCGTTCCTTCTCTCTCAAAATTAATAATTCTATATTCTTTTTAGGTAGAGAGCTTGAAGTTGAGAAGCCTATTGTCTTACTGTTTGTTCTTTCCATAGTAATTTAATCTAATAACCCATAGTGATTAAATTGTTATAAACATTCCATTTTTTTCTTTAGACCATTCAGTCAAGGTCATTGATTTCCAACAGTTCTTCAGATTGCAACGAATCTACATCAGCGTCACTGTGAGCATTCACATAACATCGGACAAATAAATCACCTCGAACGGTGAGTGCTCAGTTTAGCTGCTTACTTCTTCTATAAGTTGGATAGTTTAGATCATTTTTGGTTCATGTCAATAACACAGATCGGGCCTCAGATTGTCTTCCCAATATTGTTCGATGAGAATTGTCAACACTAGACTGGGAAATATTATGTTAGCACATTGGAGAATCGAGTAATCTCATAAACAGGATGAGATAATTCCATAGAACATGGAGAATAGACCACATAATAATAACAACTCTCACACCTGAACATATAGCAGTATGAGAAATTCAAGTTTTTTTTTTATCAAAAAAGAAACTACATCTTTACGGTTAATGGAACTTTCACACATCAGAGTATTGGCAATCAGAAGTTAGAGATGTGTGGTGTAGGGCATAGGCATACGACTACTTGTAAGGTTTTATCAATTTTTTGAAAAAAATATAGAGTAGAAACTGATAGCACACTAGTGTGATAACACCTATATCATTTGTAATTCTGCTAAGTTTTGAGTAATCAGTAGTCACTGCGGTAGGAACAAATAAGCGTACCAGAAACATTACATATCTTATGATGCGGCTAGAGAAGCCTGTGCACAGCAACTAGAGTGCCCAGCAGCACATGCGTAACTCGTTGTTCGACCAGGCATTTCGGTTTCATTTACCCTTCCGACCCTCCAGGGTCGCCAACTGTTGTCAGACATGCCTGAAAGAATTGCAGCACTGACTTGATATATCAGTAGGTCACCATAACCCGTTGATAAGACCAGAATTACATTCCATGGTCTCCAATGGCGCTAAACCCTTTGGGAACTGCCTGCATAATCACCCATGCACGAGAATCAGCATGATAAAGAAGCGTTATTCGGACAAAACTGACAACGTTGAATCCCTGTGCGCACACTATCTAGCATCCCATGTCGAGTTTGTACCATTTTTGGCAAGCAGTTCAGTAAATTCTGATTTTTATGCGATGCTGAAACTTCTTGGTATAACATGAGAAAGGAGTACATGAAAACTAAAAGGTGAACATTGTAACTTTGCATGCTCAAGATATATGTCCACTGAATGAATACACTAGTTAGAATTGAGCTATATATAAGTATATATATGTATATGTATATTTATGTGTATATATATATCGGCCTAGTTGAGTTAATGAAGCCGAATGCATGGTGGATATTTGATGAGTTGTCAACTCAAGAGCTTTATACTTCTGCGATCCTTTACTACACGGTTATTTAGTGTTATCTTTCTAGTGAAGAGGTTGTCAAGGATAACCAAAAAAAAAATTTGCTACGAAATACGTTTATTCTCAGATCATATGGATAAAAATGCAAAACCCAATTTTAGCTGGTGTAACCAAAGTCGAAATAAAACTTCACTCTTTGCTCAGTTTCGAACTTCATTATCAAGGGACACCGTTTAGCGACGAGTGGGTGGTAAAGCTTCGAATGAAAGAGATCGCTAGAGATGACCATGCAGCTACCTTGTTTTTGAGACCGACTATTTTTCCCTAACTTCTATCGCCACAATTTCATAGGTATCTCCTCAGTTGTGGTAGGTGCCATCTGATTTTAACACACGATACTTCTCGAATCCACCATTACCTCATAA